TTTTACTCTTTAGTGTGAACATTCCTGTTATGTCTTCTGAGGTTACTTGCAGTAGTAAATGCCTTTCCACAACCATCAATTTCACAAATATAAGGTCTCTCTCCTGTGTGTCTTCTAATGTGGACTTTGATATCAGATTTTCTCTTGAATTTTCTCAAACAATAAGAACATTCAAATCCTTCATTATTCTCCAATTCAACAATTCCTACCTGACTGGCTGTAACATGTGACTTACGCTTCTTCTTTCCACTTTTGTCAGGAGATTGTGGATTTGAGGAGACAGACTCATCATCTTCGTCGTGTGAAGAGTCATTGCCAGCATCATGAGATGGAGAAGTGTGTTGGTGTTGTTGTTGAGGAGGTGAAGAAATTGTATCTTGTTTGATCTTGATTCGCTTAGTCTCTGACTTGCTTCCTACAGCTCTTGGTGTACTGAGTGAAACAACTTCAGGTTCCTCATATGATTCTTTCCAATTTGGTTGAGAATTCATTGAAAGGTTAAGATCCGATTCAGTCTTGACAAATCTATTGATATTATTATGATTGGATGGGTTCATTAGAGGATTATGTTGGTTGTTGTTTTGGCGAGGGGAATTGAGTTGTTGGTTTTGAGGAGAAGAAATTTGATTAAATTTTACCTGTTGTTGATTGTTCAATTGATTGTAGAGCATTTGGGAATTATTAGTCATGTTTAACATGTTATTATTGTTCTTGTTCATCATTAGCGAATCAATTTGAGAGCTCAAATTATTATTGCTATTCATGTTGAACATGTTATCATTTTGGTGTTGTTGCCTAGAAGAGAAGGAGTTCTGTACATTGGAGTTGAGTTGTTGATTATTAGAATCAAGTAATTTTTGGAGCAATAATTGAGAAGTATTATCTTGATTCTTTTGGAATTGGTTATGTTGTTGATTATTTGGGAATGGACTTATTTGATTTTGATTTGGAAACATTTCAGATCCCATGTTGGAAAATACGTTATTATTGAACATGTTTCCATTGTTCATGTTATTGAATTGATTATTATTCTTAAAGCTATTACCAAAATTACTAGTGGATTCGTTGTAGGAACTAGCTTGATTTTGTTGTTGCTGTAAAGTGAGAGCAAACAGAGATGCAAGATTAATTCCACTCTTTTGTGCATAAAGAATGCCTTGAAGTAATGTATCAGTACTGATATTGAAAAAATTGTTGGTATCAAAATTACTGGTAGAGTCATTTTGTACACTGTTGTTCATACCATTATTGTTAGCAAACATGTTATTCTGCATTCCTGCCATTTGCTGATTCAGGCCCATGTGTTGATTATTATTATTATTCATAGTACTCATATTATTATTATTAGTCATATTACTATTCATGTTATTATTCATAGATTTGTTATTTCCCATCATGGAATTGCTATTCATGGAATTATTCATGTTATTCATCAATGAATTCATGTTGTTATTAATAGTATTCATATTCAAGTTATTATTCATGGTATTATTCATGTTATTAGAGGTATTAAAATTATTCATCATTGAATTGTTGGATGCAGGTTTACTCATTTGATTGGATGGAACAGGATTTTGAGAATTGACTCCTCGACTTGGTGCCATATTGTTACTCGTGGAAACTTCTTGTTTTCTCACCATTTCGTTTGGAGTTGTCATGCTTGAACTAATATTATTGTTGCTAACATTCATACTATTAGATGATGAACTGTTTTTCGCAGCAGATGGTATAAAAAAGTTACCACTCGAAACAGGAATATTATCAAGAGATCCGCTCATGGAACTATCCCAAAAGTTACTTTGATTTGAAACCATTTGACCTTCCTTGGTTTGTGAAGGGTTGACTGGTAAGCTGGCCATTGGTGTGGCAGGCGAACTAAGGAAGGAACTTAGGGACGTATGTGAAACTTCGTGTTTCATGGCAGAGCCAGATCTTCTCATGGAATCTCTATCTAGTAATGGTGTTGAAACGTTGGAATTTGGCTGTTCAGACAATAAACCCAAATTATCATCACTCATCAATGTACTCATAAAGTCTTGATCATCCAGTCCCATCATGTCGTCATACATAAGGCCAAAATCTTCGCTTGAACCAAAAGCCATGATATTATCATCATTCATATCGAGATTGAAATCTGATGAAGATGTTTTAACATCAACGGTTAAATTGTTTTCTGATGATTGATCCTTCTTATCACTCTCTTCGGCTGAACTTGATGTTTTAGATTGAGCTCTCTCACTTGTTGTTTGCTTTTTAAATTCTTCCATTCTCCTCGAACCAACAATACCTCTAATTTTCGATCTTAGAGATGATTGCTTCTTGACAATATTATTTCCAAATTGAGCATGGCATGATTGTTTCTTCTTGGAATTTTCAACCATCTTGGCAATAGGACGTAAATAAATAATTTCAGAATTTTGATCCTTGCCTTGACTAAAGTATGGATCCTTATCATTAAGTAAAACAGCATAAATTGAAGGTAATTTGACTGTTGGTGGTTCAGATTCAAGGGCTGGTATTTTAGGGGAAGATGTTGGATTGGATGAAGAGGTAGTTGGAATTGGATTATGTTGTTGGGAGGAAGAGTTTGTTGAATTATCATTATTCGACGTCGTGGGAATATCTAGCTTTCTATTGGAAGATGGAATTGTTGATGAACTGCTTGAAGGAGGCTGCATACTCGTAAAACCAACATTAGTTTTAAGTGAAGAGGTAAGATGCGGACTTTGTTTGGTTGGTGATGCTGATGAAGGATTCATCAGCATGTTATTATTGCTCGATGCTGTACTCACAGACATGTTATTTCTTTGCGACAGAAACTGTTTGTTTGCTTCTTTAGGGGAGGATGGTACAATCCCAGCAGATTGTTTTCTTGTGGCGGAGGAAGAGTTTGTTGAAGAATAATTTTCACCCAAGGTATTTTCAAGTTGAACTCCTTGGTTATTATTAACAACAATAGAATTTAAATAATTATTGTTTAGAGTTGGTGATAATGATGAAGAAGATGTTTTCAACAACA